AATAAAATTGTAACTGGCAGAAGTCTGTACATTATAGATATTAAAAAGCAACACAAGTAACAGAAGCCAAATCAACATTTTCTTAGAATTTTGGTCTGCCTGTCTGTATGTTTGCACGCGCATCACTCGAAAACTAATGCATGGAATCGAATGCAGTTTTCGCCGATGTATTGCTAGATGTCTAACTTTAGAAAGAAAGAAAAATAGAGAGGTGCCACCTGTAGGACAATTGCAATTTAAGTAACTTGATAGTCTAAAGTAAATGCTGGAATTAGGCTGTCAAAAGAAAGAAGTTTAAGAAGGCTTACAGCAAACAATATTTTTGTAGAAGGTTGCCACCTGTTTGAAAATTTTAATTTAATTTAATTGTCAAATATGTAGACTCAAGTTATAAGACTGCAAATTAAATTCCCATGACACCGACTTTACCGACTTTCTAAGAATCTTCGAAAATATATTAACTAACACCCATATTTGTTTGAAAATCTCACTTCATAAGGCCTTTTAAATCTATTTTATTTTCTATGAATGAGGCCGTAAGAGTTTTTGCAGGGAGTAATAACACAAAATACTTTTAAGGCGCAGTAAAGCACGTCGGGTATTACCACTCGGTAGGACCTAGGTTCGATCCTTGTTCGCTGCAACATCTAAAACGACTAATAGTTTTTTATTAAACTTATTTGTCGTCCTTATAATAATGAAATATCATTCTCTGAGGCTTTTGATTATAAAATAAAGGTTGTAAAAAATAATATTGCGTTATATTTTTTTTAAGTATCTAGTCTTATAAGAATAAAATGGCATAATTATTTTTCTAAAAAAAAAATCTTAAATTTCGCTGGGATAAAAAACTGAGTTTACCTCTAGAAAATGAAATAAAATGTACTATGTAATTTTTAACTCTTCTAATTATGACAACGAAGATCTTAGTAAGGCTCGATTTCATCTACAAGAACTACCCAAAAATACTTTCGAATTTTTACTGTCACAAATTGAATACAGAAGAATTCATGTTTTTATGTACCTACATATATGTACATTTGTTAATGTATATAAATTATTTCGAATGTTATTATGAAAATCTTATTAATTAAACGCATCCAATAAACATACTGATAGCTGCGACAACAACTATTAACACCTTCGGCTTCGCAATCCAAACAGCGAGTTGGAAGTCTTTCTCATACTTATGAGAATCTCGTATTTGTAGTTGTCGACAGTTTTTACAGTATTAGACTGAAAATAGTTTCCGAAACTTAAGATATGTAATAGAAAACATAGACAAAATTTATTGGACAAATATTTCATTTTTAGTACAAGTGGTTGGTTGGAAACATGGCATAGACTTGAAAGCAGTTGGCGCCTGCGTCACCATTTTACCATGCTAGATGGTACATAGAGCTGCACTGTGAAAAAATACTTAGCCAGTCGCAGATGTATTAAAAGAAACACCACGGTTTAGTATATATCTATATAGAATTCAATGATTATAATTCACGGGTTTTAGTTTGACAATTGCAATAATAAAGAATTAGAAAGAAAGAAGTTTGTTCGTTTACAATGATTTGCCAAAATCAGTAGTGTCGAGATTAAATGTCAAACCTTACACAAGAAATATTTTAGAATGCTAATATTAACATGCACTTATTCCAAACCATTTTAATTTGTCAATAAATCGGATAATGTTTATTAGTGAGTACTTGCAGATCTCTCTTAAATTTTACAATTTCTACATGGTGGCGACGAATAACTGGTACCCAGGTTCTTTTGAATAATAAAGGGGTC